TTTTGAGTTGCTTAATCATTCAGTGCATGATTGTACATGCCACCTTAGACGGGAAAGCCATTATTTTTTAACTTACATAATGGAAACCGTTTATTTGTATCTAAATCCAGCGCTTTAAAACTGAGGAAAACATTTCAAAGTAACCGGAGAGCAAAGAGACTGTCAACATGTGATGTGCACCCTGAGGTTCCACAGTAAAAGGTGAAATAAGCTCCAGCTCCTCCGTGACACTGAATTAAATAAGTTAAGATGGCAGAAGGATGGATAAAAATGGGACTCTGACACAGCAATGTTGAACCAGTGTTATATCATAGGCCACATACACACATGTTATTTGGGCTGGACCAGTTGAAATTCCCCCTTTCCATCAGTGGAAAGACATTTAGCTAAACATTTAATCCCTGAGATGTCTTAGTATAAGAAAAAAGGTATTGAATATGTTAAATTACAGAAAAAGCTCTGAAGGCCAAGAAGGCAACAAAGAAGGTAACAAAGAAGGTAACAACGAAGGCAACAAAGAAGGTAACAACGAAGGCAACAACGAAGGCTAAAACTGTATGTAGCCTTCGTTGTTGCCTTCGTTGTTACCTTCTTTGTTACCTTCTTTGTTGCCTTCTTGGCTCTCGCAGCAGGTTTCTTCCTGGTAGACCAGGAAGACTATTACTGTACTGTATGCGATTACGGTAGCTATGAAAAATAAAACACAAGCAAACTTAAATTTCTATTGTGGATAAACAGGAACTTTTGTCATTTTATCGGTTACATATCATTTGGGTGTAGTATGAATGGAAAAAGGGGAGGTCTTTATCCAAAGAAAAAGCTGTAAACGTTATGAAAATACAGTTAAAAGTTCAAAAGCACTTCCTTATAATTTCCAAAGCGCTCATTGGGCTAGATTTGAGTCTTTGCCAGGCCAGTTCTGGCCCCCTGGCCTCATGTATGACACCCTTGCTCTAAAGTCTCTCTAAAGAAGTGACTTGTAAACATTTCGCACAGGGTTATGTTTTAGTCAAAAGCAAGCTCAGGAACCTTGTTGATACTTTTCAACCACAAAGAGCTTGTAACATGTGGCAAAAAAAATAATTGGACGTTAATGATTTTTTTTTTTTTTAACTCAATTTAATGATGACATAAATGAGCTGGGATTTTTTTGTAACATGTACCTTTTCCGAAAGTGAAGAAAGACATTATTATTTCATTGACTGCATGATATAAAATAATATGACTCAATAATAATTACAGCTCATCTTTACTGTCCCTTTTTCCTTTTTACACTTTGATCACACACAGCAGGTCTGAGTGACAGGCAGGGCTATTTAAACAACATCCCCGCTTTCGCTTAGGCTGGTTTGGGTTTCTCCATCGCTAGTGCACTCCGAGCTCTGCTGTAGCCGCTCGAGTTTGCGCGCCCCTCCCAGTGATACCTCCACCCCGGAGACGTTTACATCCAGCAGGCTCTGCAGGTGTTTGATATAGTCAATGGCCGCTCGCAGCGTCTCCACTTTGCTGAGCCGTTTGTCGTCGAACTCGTG